CCACTCACCCACCCACTCACCCCCCCCACTCACCCACTCACCCACACACTCACTCACTGACTCACACACTCACCCACTCACTCACCCACTCACCCACCCACACACTCACCCACTCACCCACCCACTCACTCACCCACTCACCCACCCACTCACCCACTCACCCACTCACCCACTCACCCACACACTCACTCACTGACTCACACACTCACCCACCCACACACTCACCCCCCCCACTCACCCACTCACCCACACACTCACTGACTCACCCCCCCACTCACCCACTCACCCACTCACCCACCCACACACTCACCCACTCACCCACTCACCCACCCACCCACCCACTCACCCACCCACTCACCCACCCACACACTCACCCACCCACACACTCACCCACCCACCCACTCACCCACCCACACACCCACCCACACACCCACCCACCCACTCACCCACTCACCCACACACTCACCCACTCACCCACCACCCACCCACTCACCCACTCACCCACTCACCCACACACTCACTGACTCACCCCCCCACTCACCCACTCACCCACTCACCCACCCACACACTCACCCACCCACACACTCACCCACTCACCCACTCACCCACCCACTCACCCACTCACCCACCCACACACTCGCCCACTCACCCACCCACCCACTCACCCACTCACCCACCACCCACTCACCCACACACTCACCCACTCACCCACCCACACATTCACCCACCCACTCACCCACCCACCCACTCACCCACACACTCACCCACTCACCCACTCACCCACTCACCCACCCACTCACCCACCCACACACTCACCCACCCACCCACTCACCCACACACCCACCCACCCACTCACCCACACACTCACCCACCCACTTACCCACCCACCCACCCACTCACCCACTCACCCACTCAACCACCCAGTCACCCACCCACCCACACACTCACCCACCCACCCACCCACTCACCCACCCACACACCCACCCACCCACCCACTCACCCACCCACTCACCCACTCACCCACCCACACACTCACCCACCCACACACTCACCCACTCACCCACCCACCCACTCACCCACCCACTCACCCACTCACCCACCCACCCACTCACCCACCCACACACTCACCCACCCACACACTCACCCACCCACTCACCCACTCACCCACTCACCCACACACTCACTGACTCACCCCCCCACTCACCCACTCACCCACTCACCCACCCACACACTCACCCACCCACACACTCACCCACTCACCCACCCACCCACTCACCCACCCACTCACCCACTCACCCACCCACACACTCACCCACCCACACACTCGCCCACTCACCCACCCACCCACTCACCCACCCACACACCCACCCACCCACCCACTCACCCACTCACCCACCACCCACTCACCCACCCACACACTCACCCACTCACCCACCCACACATTCACCCACCCACTCACCCACCCACCCACTCACCCACACACTCACCCACTCACCCACTCACCCACTCACCCACCCAGTCACCCACCCACACACCCACCCACACACTCACCCACCCACCCACTCACCCACCCACTCACCCACACACCCACCCACCCACTCACCCACACACTCACCCACCCACTTACCCACCCATCCACCCACTCACCCACACACTCACCCACTCACCCACTCAACTACCCAGTCACCCACCCACCCACACACTCACCCACCCACCCACTCACCCACCCACACACCCACCCACCCACTCACCCACCCACTCACCCACTCACCCACCCACACACTCACCCACCCACACACTCACCCACTCACCCACCCACACACCCACTCACCCACACACTCACCCACCCACTCACCCACACACTCACCCCTCACCCACACACCCACTCACCCACCCACACACTCACCCACCCACACACTCACCCACTCACCCACCCACCCACTCACCCACCCACCCACTCACCCACACACTCACCCACCCACCCACTCACCCACCCACCCACTCACCCACACACTCACCCACTCACCCACTCACCCACCCAGTCACCCACCCACACACCCACCCACACACTCACCCACCCACTCACCCACCCACACACCCACCCACTCACCCACCCACCCACCCACCCACACACCCACCCACCCACCCACCCACTCACCCACCCACACACTCACCCACTCACCCACCCACACACTCACCCACTCACCCACCCACCCACTCACCCACACACTCACCCCTCACCCACTCACCCACCCAGTCACCCACCCACACACCCACTCACCCACCCACAAACTCACACACTCACCCACTCACCCACCCACACACTCACCCACTCACCCACTCACCCACCCACCCACCCACTCACCCACCCACACACTCACCCACTCACCCACCCACACACTCACCCACTCACCCACCCACCCAGTCACCCACACACTCACCCCTCACCCAGTCACCCACCCACACACCCACTCACCCACCCACACACTCACACACTCACCCACTCACCCACCCACACACCCACCCACTCACCCACTCACCCACCCACCCACTCACCCACCCACCCACTCACTCACTCACCCACCCACCCACTCACCCACCCACACACTCACCCACTCACCCACCCACTCACCCACCCACCCACTCACCCACCCACCCACCCACTCACTCACCCACTCACCCACACACTCACTGACTCACCTACTCACTCACTCACTCACCCACCCACACACTCACCCACTCAACCACACACTCACCCCTCACCCACTCACCCACCCAGTCACCCACCCACACACCCACTCACCCACCCACACACTCACACACTCACCCACTCACCCACTCACCCACCCACACATTCACCCACCCACTCACCCACCCACCCACTCACCCACACACTCACCCACTCACCCACTCACCCACCCAGTCACCCACCCACACACCCACCCACACACTCACCCACCCACCCACCCACTCACCCACCCACTCACCCACACACCCACCCACCCACTCACCCACACACTCACCCACCCACTTACCCACCCATCCACCCACTCACCCACACACTCACCCACTCACCCACTCAACCACCCAGTCACCCACCCACCCACACACTCACCCACCCACCCACTCACCCACCCACACACCCACCCACCCACTCACCCACCCACTCACCCACTCACCCACCCACACACTCACCCACTCACCCACTCACCCACCCACACACCCACTCACCCACACACTCACCCACCCACTCACCCACACACTCACCCCTCACCCACTCACCCACCCAGTCACCCACCCACACACCCACTCACCCACCCACACACTCACCCACCCACACACTCACCCACCCACCCACTCACCCACCCACCCACCCACTCACCCACACACTCACCCACCCACCCACTCACCCACACACTCACCCACTCACCCACTCACCCACCCACTCACCCACCCACACACCCACCCACACACTCACCCACCCACTCACCCACCCACACACCCACCCACTCACCCACCCACCCACCCACACACCCACCCACCCACCCACTCACCCACCCACACACTCACCCACTCACCCACCCACACACTCACCCACTCACCCACCCACCCACTCACCCACACACTCACCCCTCACCCACTCACCCACTCAGTCACCCACCCACACACCCACTCACCCACCCACAAACTCACACACTCACCCACTCACCCACCCACACACTCACCCACTCACCCACCCACCCACTCACCCACCCACCCACCCACTCACCCACCCACACACTCACCCACTCACCCACCCACTCACCCACCCACCCAGTCACCCACACACTCACCCCTCACCCAGTCACCCACCCACACACCCACTCACCCACCCACACACTCACACACTCACCCACTCACCCACCCACACACCCACCCACTCACCCACTCACCCACCCACACACTCACCCACCCACCCACTCACTCACTCACCCACCCACCCACTCACCCACCCACACACTCACCCACTCACCCACCCACTCACCCACCCACCCACTCACCCACCCACCCACCCACCCACTCACCCACCCACTCACCCACTCACCCACACACTCACTCACTCACCCACTCACTCACTCACTCACCCACCCACACACTCACCCACTCAACCACACACTCACCCCTCACCCACTCACCCACCCACTCACCCACCCACACACCCACTCACCCACCCACACACTCACACACTCACCCACCCACACACCCACCCACCCACTCACCCACCCACACACTCACCCACTCACCCACCCACTCACCCACCCACCCACTCACCCACCCACCCACCCACTCACCCACCCACTCACCCACTCACCCACACACTCACTGACTCACCCACTCACTCACTCACTCACCCACCCACACACTCACCCACTCAACCACACACTCACCCCCCCACTCACCCACTCACCCACCCACCCACTCACCCACCCATCCATCACGCCCCGATATTGCGTTCGTTTCTCTTCATCTAGTGGTGGGGGGGGGGGGGGTGAATGGGGGGACTGTGCCAGACAAAGCTGCCCCAGGTAGTCTCTAGCAGGACTGTAGGGGCAAGTGCTGTGAGTAGCGATGATGGCAGTGGTGATGGTGATGATGGTGATGGTGGTGATGATGATGATGGTGATGATGTTGATGCATCTATTTCCTCGTCCGTCTCCCTCCACCACCACCACCACCACCCCCACCACCACCACCACCACCCCCACCACCACCACCACCACCTCCACTACCACCACCAACCCCACCACCACCACCACCACTACCACCACCACCCCCACCACCACCACCCCCACCACCACCACCACCACCTCCACTACCACCACCACCACCACCAACCCCACCACCACCACTACCACCACCACCACTACCACCACCACCCCCACCACCACCACCTCCACCACCCCCACCTCCACCACCCCCACCCCCTCAACCCCCTCCCGCGTCGCCACGGCAACCGCCAGGCAACAAAAATGGCCGCTGCGGCCCACGACAAAAAATGGCCGCCGCCGCCGCCTCGTGCCCTGGGGTCCCTCAACTGTGACCACGTGACTCCCCTCCTCAACAACCACCACCACAACCACCACCACAACCACCACCACCACCACCAACCTCCACCTCCACCACCTCAGCATCATCCTCCCGCCCCCCCTACTCCACTTCGTCCACCACCGCCTCGTCACCGGCGTCGAAGACGGCAGCCCGCCACCACCGCCTCCGCCGCCACCACCGCCTCCGCCGCCACCACCGCCTCCGCCGCCTCCGCCGGCGCCACCGGCGCCGCCGCCCTTCCCCGCCGAATCGTTGCGGCCGCGATCGGCCTCCTGGCGGCCGCGGCGCTGTGGCCCCAGCCGGCCGCGGGCGACTGCTGGCTGGTGGTGGACGCGAGGAGTGGGGTCCATCGCAAGGCCATCTGCAGCGAGAACCGCCCACCGTTCACCGCCGTGCCCAGGCATCTGAACGTGTCGCTTACGGAGCTGCAGCTGTCCGGCAACCAGGTGGGTGGGGCGCGTGGGCGGGTGGGTGGGCGGGTGGGTGGGTGGGTGAGAGGGTGGGTGGGTGGGTGAGAGGGTGGGTGAGAGGGTGGGTGAGAGGGTGGGTGAGTGGGTGGGTGAGTGGGAGGGTGAGTGGGTGGGTGGGTGAGTGGGTGGGTGAGAGGGTGGGTGGGTGAGTTATTAGGTGAGTGGGTGGGTGAGTGGGTGGGTGAGTGGGAGGGTGGGTGGGAGGGTGAGTGAGTGGGAGGGTGGGTGAGTGGGAGGGTGAGTGGGTGGGTGGGTGAGTGGGAGGGTGGGTGGGTGGGTGAGTGGGAGGGTGGGTGAGTGATTAGGTGGGTGGGTGGGTGAGTGGGTGAGTGGGAGAGTGGGCGGGTGGGTGAGAGGGTGGGTGAGTGGGCGGGTGGGTGAGTGGGAGGGTGGGTGGGAGGGTGGGTGAGTGGATGGGTGAATGAGAGGGTGGGTGAGTGGGCGGGTGAGTGTAGAGGTGAATGTTACCCCTCTCATCAGTCCCCCCCCCCATCTCCCCCCCCCCCCCACCTCCAAACCCCCACCCCCCACCCCCACCCCCCCCCCACCCCCCCCCACCCCCCCAGATCTCCACCCCGGACCGCTCCTCCCTCTCCCGCTACTCCTCCCTCGTCTCCCTCGACCTCTCGCGCAACTCCATCGCCGCCCTCCCCGCCGCCTCCTTCCGCCCCCTCGCCCTCCTCGCCCACCTGGACCTGGCCCACAACCCCCTGCGCCTCGTCCACCGAGACTCCCTCCTGGGGCTCGTCTCCCTGCGGGCGCTGAGCCTGCGCGGCGGGCGCCTCTCCTCGCTGCCCGCGGGCCTCCTGCGCCACTCGCCGGCCCTCCGCGCCCTCGACCTGGCCCACAACCGGCTCGCCGCCCTGACGCCCGACGCCCTCGCGGGGCCCCGGGGCCTCCGGCGGCTGCCGCTGGCCGGCAACCCGCTGGACTGCGGCTGCGCTGGCCTCCTGCCCGCGCTCGTCTGGCTCCAGAGGCAGGTCGGGGCGGCCGGGGTCGCGTCGGCGGCTTCGGCGGCTTCGGCGTCGCCCGCCGGCGTGGCGGTGGCGGCCGCGGCGGCGGCGGCGGCGGCGGCGGTGCCCGTGGACGAGGCGGTGGACGAGGCGGTGGATGAGGCTGTGGATGAGGCGGTGGATGAGGCGGCGGCAGCGGCGGCGGCTCCGTCGCTGCCGCTTGCTTCGTCCGCGTTGCTGGCGGCTCGGTCTCCCGGTTCCCCCTCTGCCTCCTCCTCCTCCGCCTCCTCCTCCTCGTCAGTCTCCACCCCCTTCACCTCCTCCTCGTCAGTCTCCTCCTCGTCCTCCTCGAGGCCGTCCGGTGCCACTTCGAGCGCCGGGTCTTTGCCGTCGCTCCTGACGCCGTCACCCTCGTCGCACCGCTCGCTCGGCGAGCTCCTCCACCTCCTCCACCTCCTCCACCTCCTCCACCTCCTCCACCTCCTCCTCCACCTCCTACTCCCCCTCCTCCTCCACCACCTCCTCCTCCGCACGTCACCGCTCTCACCTCTTCCGCTCCTCCTCCTCCTCCGCACCCTCTTCCTCGCCTTCCTCCTCACCCTCCCTGTCGCCCCGTCTGCCCAATCGTCGTCGTCGCCGGTCTCCCGCTTCTTCCTTCCGCTACGCTCCCTCTCCTCGTTATTATTACTATCTCCCGTCGTCATCGTCGTCTTCGTCATCGTCGTCATCGTCATCGTCGTCTTCGTCATCATCGTCGTCTTCCCGCTTGTCCTCGTCTTCCTCCTCCTCCTCCACCGCCTCCTCCTCCACCGCCTCCTCCACCGCCTCCTCCTCCACCGCCTCCTCCTCCACCTCATCGCTCTCGTGGTTGTCGCTGGACACGGAGATCCCGGTGTGCGCCTCCCCTCCCTGGCTGGCCGGGGTGCCGCTCCTCGGCGTCCCATCGCCGCCACCTCCACAGCCGCCCCCTCCATCGTCCCCCTCCTCGGCCCCATCCTCCTCCGCCTCCCGGTGGTCTGCGCCGGACCTCGGTCAAGACCCCCGCTCCTTGTCCCTCGGTCAAGACCCCCGCTCCTTGTCCCTCGGTCAAGACCCCCGCTCCTTGTCCCTCGGTCAAGACCCCCGCTCATCATCCACCGGTCAAGACCCCCACTCCTCGTCCGCCGGTCAAGACCCCCGCTCCTTGTCCCTCGGTCAAGACCCCCGCTCCTTGTCCCTCGGTCAAGACCCCCGCTCATCATCCACCGGTCAAGACCCCCACTCCTCGTCCGCCGGTCAAGACCCCCGCTCCTTGTCCTCTAGTCAAGACCCCCGCTTCTGGTCCCTCGGTCAAGACCCCCACTCCTCGTCCGCCGGTCAAGACCCCCGCTCATCATCCTCTAGCCAAGACCCCCGCTCATCATCCTCTAGCCAAGACCCCCGCTCCTTGTCCCTCGGTCAAGACCCCCGCTCATCATCCTCTAGCCAAGACCCCCGCTCATCATCCTCTAGCCAAGACCCCCGCCCGGCACCGAAGCTGCCCCAGAGCCACCACCACCACCACCACCGCCGCTCCGCTCTCCAAGAACTGCTGGCGGAGTGCCCCAGAGACACCTGGGCAGTCACCTCCACCTACGAAGATCCCTCCTCCTCCTCCTCCTCCTCGTCCTCCTCCTCGTCCTCCTCGTCCTGCGATGGCTGCTACTCGGGCGACTCCGACAGCAGCAGCAGCAGCAGCAGCAGCTCCTCGTCCTCCTCCTCGTCCTCGCCACCACCACCACCACCGCCGCACGACGTCCACGTCCACGTCCCTCGGCCGCCCCCTCCTGACCTCGGCCCCTTGGACCCGGGAGCCGTCGCGCCTCCGATGCACCCAAAGTTCCCCTCCTCCACGTTCAGCGGCACCGGCACCGGCACCGGCACCGGGCTACCGAGAGGCTCCCTGCCCACCATCGCCGTCCTGACATCTCCGTCCGGAGGCGGCGGCGCCGGCACCGGCAACCTCGGCGGCGGCAACCTCGGCGGCGGCGGCGGCACGGCCACCCTGCGCATCCGGATCCCGCGGCCCTTCTCCAAGATGTACGTCCTGGCCCGCTACGGCGGCGGGCGTCCGGCGGAGGACCCCGCGGCCGACGCCGGCGACGGCGGCGTCGACCTCCGGAGCCTCCGGCGCCGCTCGGAGCTGGTGACGGTGCGCGGCGTCGCCGACGGCGCCGCGCACACCTTCTGTGTCGTCTCCATCAAGCTGCACGCTCGCCTCAACCACACCTGCGTCACCTTCCGCCTGCAGGCCGGCGACGTCTTCGTGCTCGGCCGGACCGGCGGCCCCGGCGGCCCCGGCGGCCCCGGCGGACGAAAGCCGCCGGCGGGCGAAACGCCCGCCGGCGGCGCCGACGACTACCCGGGCGGCTACTACGACGGCGGCGACTACGGTGGCGCGTACCCGGACGCCTACGACGGCGCGGGGCTCGACCGCAAGGAAGGCCGAGGAGGAGGCGGTGGAGGCGGGGGCGACGGCGTGGCGACGTCGCCGGCCGGCAGGGCCGTCGCCGTCATCGCCTGCGCCCTCGGCGCCGCCGTGGTCATCGCCTTCGCCGCCGTGGCCGCCCGGGGGCTCGTGCGGAGGCGGCGGGGCAAGCGGGCCGAGGCCGTCAAGCGGGCCGCCATCGCCTTCCCGCTGGCGCCGGGGCACCTCAAGGCCGCCGGTGCCGGCGCCGGTGGCCGCGGCGGCGGTCGCGGTGGCGCGGCGGCGGCGGCGGCGGCGGCGTCCGGGGCCGGCGGGGTGCTGCCGGTGCTCGGCGGCGGAGGGGGCGCCCAGGGGCCGGAGGAGTTGGCGACGGTGGCGGCCGCGGTCGCCGCGGAGCTGTCGATGCGGCAGGGGCGCGGCGGCGTCGGCGGCGGCGGCGGCGTCGGGGGGGCGGCCGAGTCCCCGGCGAGCAGCGCCGCCTCCGTTGCCGGGGCGACGGAGGCGCTGCTGCTGCTGGCGAGGAGCGCCGCGGCCGGCAAGGCCGGGGGAGAAGCGGAGAAGAGGGGGAGGGGGAGGGGCGGGGAGCAGCAGCAGGGGGGAAGCGGCGGCGGTGGCGGTAAAGAGACCGGAGTGCCGGCCCGGACCAAGAGCACCTACATCGAGGTGACGGGCTGCGGCGTTGGTTGGTTGGAGTCGGCGCAACCGCAGCAACCGCAGCAACCGCAGCAACCGCAGCAACCGCAGCAACCGGCGCAACCGGCGCAACCGGCGCAACCGGCGGGCGGCGGACACCTGGCGGACATCGCGGCCATCACGCAGGAGGTCGACCGAGTGAACGTCATCATCAGCTCCTGCATCGAGTCCATCCGGGGAGAGGCCATCGCCGGCTTCCCCGAGGCCGCGGCGCCGGACAGAGAGGGCGCGGCTACGGCGGCTACGGCGGCTACGGCGGCTGTGGCGGTTGAGGTGGCCGCGGGGGCGTCTGCCGGAGGCGGTGGCGCTGGTGGTGGTGGTGGTGGTGGTGGTGGAGAAACGGGGATAGCAGGGCTCTCGCCCGGACGGTGGAGGTGAGCGGTGGTGGAGGTGGTGGTGGTGGTGGTGGTGGTGAAGGTGGAGGTGGTGGAGGTGGTGGTGAAGGTGGATGTGGTGGAGGTGGTGATGGTGGTGAAGGTGGTGGAGGTGGTTGAGGTGAAGGTGGAGGTGGTGGTGGTGGTTGAGGTGGTGAATGTGGAGGTGGTGGAGGTGGTGGTGGTGGTTGAGGTGGTGAAGGTGGAGGTGGTGGTGGAGGTGGTGGTGGTTGTGGTGGTGGTGGAGGTGAAGGTGGTGGTTGAGGTGGTGGTTGAGGTGGTGGTGGTTGTGGTGGGGGAGGTGATGGTGGAGGTGATTGGGGTGGTGGTGGTGGTGGAAGTGGTGGTTGAGGTGGTGGTGGTGGTGGTGGTGGAGGTGGTTGAGGTGGTGGTGGTTGTGGTGGGGGAGGTGATGCTTGAGGTGGTGGAGGTGGTGGTCGTGATGGTGGTGGAGGTGGTGGTGGAGGTGTCCGGCAAAAGCAACAATTGGCATTTCCCCTCATGGCGTTTATAGCCACCACAGTGGCCAAATGGGCGAGGGGCTGGTAACCCCTCCACCTTCAATAGATTACCACTAAACCACGTGAAAAATATCTAATTAAGAAGCTTGTGCCGGAGGCCCCGGGGGGACAGGCGTCTATGACGTCTCCTGGCCAAACCCCAATTGGCGGAGCCAGGAGATTGAATCTCTACCCTCGGGGCTCCTCCAGAAACAGCAAAAAGCCACTGCGGGTGGCCACGTGGAATGTTTCGAACGCTCACTGCGGAGGAGAGGCTGCCGCTCCTCTGTCGGGAGCTGGACCGGTACCGCCTGGATCTCTGTGGCATTCAGGAGGTCCGGTGGACCGGCTCTTGCTCCTGCCACCATGAGGGGTGGACAGTCCTCTACTCGGGGAAGGAGACTGCCAAACAACAGGGTGTGGCTCTTCTTCTGAACAAAAGAATGAAGGGGGCGTGGGAGCGTGGCGGTGAGGTGTGGGAAGCTGTAAGCCCCAGGCTACTTTGGGCTCGTCTTCCCATCAACCAGATGCGAGGAATGGTGGTCGTGGTTGCTTATGCCCCCACAGAAGACGAACATCCATGGAGGGATGCAGGCAAGGATAATGAGTCAGATGCCTTCTATGACCTCCTGTCACAGGTGCTAACTAAAGTGGTCATCTTGCTGGGTGACTTCAATGCCCGAATTGGTCATTATGCTGTACACCTGGTCTGGAGTGATTGGAAAGCATGGGCCAGTTCAGCTCAATAACAACGGTAGGAGGCTGCTAGATTTTTGTAATTGCCAACATGCTGTTCCGGCATCAGCGCATCCACACAACATCATGGATGCATGCCGGGTCCAAGCAAGAACATCTGCTGAACTACATAGTGATGGACCAGTGGATGAGGGCCCATGTCCTTGACACCAGGACCTACCGTGGAGCTGATCTGCCCACTGACCATGGACTAGTCATCTGTAAGATGCGCCTGCCATTCTTCCACTCCGGTGGTGGGTGTACACCCAGGACCCCATTCAAACTCATAGTGGCCTGGTGTCAGGTAGCTGATGAAAGTTGCAAGTGAGAATGTCATCATCGCTTGCGGCTGGAGTTGGCATCGTCCCCCACTGCTCCTGATGTCGAGGGGAAATGGGCGAGGTTTAGGACTGGCTCACGCATCTGCAATGGCTGCTTTAGGTACACGGTCCAGACCTCCCCAGAGACCCTGGCTGACAGAGAAGGTGTTCAGGCTAGCTGAGAAAAAGCGACAGGCCCAGTCTCATCAGCTACAGCAACCCACGTCAGAGAATGAGGAGGATTACCGCAGCCTTCGATTGGAGGTTCGGAGAGCCGTGAGGCGCTGCAAGGATGGGTGGTGGTCGCGGGTTGCTGACGAGATGGAATCTGCCTCAGTGGCCCGCGATCACAAATCGCTCTGATTCCATCAAAAAAGTAACGCCACACCTATCATCAGCATTAGGGGAAATACCAGTGATCCAATCTCCGACCCCCAGGAACAGGTTTTCAGATTTTCTGAGCATTTCTGTGAGGTCCTGGGGGAGGTTAAATCCCTCAGCCTGGATAACAACGTGGGACAAAGTGGGGATGACCCTGCCGAGGCTGCGGTGCCTCAAATGTTGGAAGAAGTCACCCCCTGTGAGTGGCTGGCTGAGGTGCCATCTGTTGAGGAAGTACTGAAGGCGAGACCAGGAAAGGCACCGGGCAGAGATAATCTCCCATGCAATATGCTGAGGGAGGGTGGCGTTTGTGCACAGACTGCCCTATATGACATCATAACAACAGTCTGGATCACTGGACGGGTTCCGCAGGATTGGAAGGATGCCCTGGTGGTCCCCCTCTTTAAGAAGGGGGACCGCACAGACTGTAACAACTACAGGGCCATCTCACTCCTCAGTGTGCCGGGAAAGGTCCTGGCAAGGATTATTCAACATCGCCTTGCCAGGCACGCTGAGGAGAGGCTTGCAGAGCCCCAATGCGGTTTCAGGAAAGGGCGGTCCTGCACAGATGCCATATTTTCTGTCCATCTGCTACAGCAGAGGTGCAGGGAATTCCAACAAGACCTACATCTCTGCTTTATTTACCTGGTCAAGGCCTATGATACCATCAGTAGGCCTGGGCTCTGGGTTGTTCTTTGTGCTTTCGGAGTCCCTGACCCTCTGCTCACGATCATTAAGGACGTTCATGATGGTGAGCGGGCCCGGACAAAACTACGTGGCCGGGAGTCGGAGCTATTCCCTGTTCACCTTGGGGTGCGACATGGATGTCCTCTGGCTCCCACATTATTTAACATCTATTTTGACCACGTAGTTCGGGAAGCCTTCAATTGCTGTACCGGAGGAATTTCGTTATGGTACAGATACAATGGGAGGCTGATAGATGCCCGGGTGTGGTCAAGGGATGGCTCCCTATTGGTCAACCACGTTATGTATGCCGATGATTTGGTAATAGCTGCTCATTCAGAGGAGGAGTTGGAGGAGCTGCTGCTGAACCTGGAGCATGCCACTAAGAGGTGGGGCCTTACCATCAGCCCCACCAAAACTAATCACCTGCCTGGGTATTTTGTACCATCGGACACTCCACCCCTACGACTCCCAATCGGTGATGGGGCAGTTGTGGAGAGAGTGGAGAGTTTCCCATACCTGGGCAGTGTGCTTATGACCGGCTCTGGTTTAACAGCCGAGGTTTCACTCCGAATCAGTCGAGCGGAAATATCTTTTCATCGGTTGCGTAACGCTGTGTGGAAGCTACCTGGTCTGTCGCTCCACACAAAGCTTCAGGTCTTCTCAGCCACGGTCATTCCCTCCCTTCTCTACGCTTGCAGAACATGGAGCCCCCCTATTGGAACATTTTAGGATTGCCTGCCTACGATCCAGCCTGCGTTTAACCAGGCTTGATTGTGTGAGGAGCTCACAAATTCTTGAACCATCTGGAAAAAAAAGTCCCATCGGTGAGATCCTCCGGCAGGCAAGGCTGCGATGGCTGGGTCATGTAGCCCGCATGCCCAGCCACCGCATGCCGAAACAGCTTTTGTTCGGCCGGATCGAAGGGGCTAAACGGGCGTGGCACGGCCGATGACTGGTACCAGCGGTGTCAAGATCGGCCTCTGTGGAGGAGGCTCGTGAAGGACGCTACTGGGCAGTTGGAGGCAGTCGCCCTCCAACAACAACGGAGGGCGGAGGAGCGACGCTCACAACCACGAGCGGAGCGCCGGGTGGCCAAAGCACAGCAGGTTGGCACAGTAGGGGGCACAGGTGGTGCATCAGCCAGTCATCTCAGTCATCTCAGTCAGTCGACCCGTGGCACCTGCTGGGTCTGTCCCGTGACCTCCTGCCAGCGGGCGTTCGACACTTCACGCGGCCTCAACGTGCACCTAGCCTGGTACAAGCGTCGTGGTGACATCACCGCCACTTAGTGGCGAATGGCGGTTGTTGTTGTTGGTGGTGGTGGTGGTGGTGTTGGTGGTGGTTGAGGTGGTGGAGAAAGTTGTGGTGGTTGTTGAGGTGGAGGAGGTGGTGGTGATGGTGGTCATGGTGGTGAGTGGTGGTGGTGGTGGTGGTCATGGTGGTGAGTGGTGGTGGTGGTTGAGATCGTGGTGGTGGTGGTGGTGGCGATGGAGGAGGAGGAGTGTACAGAGGTCTGGTTGCAGTGCGTACCCACAGCCTCATTCTTGAGGGATGTCCACTTGTGGAGATCCACGACTTTCTGTTCACACTCAAAAACTCCCCCACCCCCATCTCCCCCCCTCCCTCTCTCCCCCCTCTCCCCCCTCCCTCACTCCCCCCTCCCTCTCTCCCCCCTCCCTCACTCCCCCCTCCCTCTCTCCCCCCCTCCCCCTCCCCTCCCCCGCTCTCCCCCAGACCTCCGGATCGTCGCGACCGCCCCTCCTTCACGAGGGCCGACTCCGATCCGGGCCACGTGGTTGGGGTGACACAACAACAACAACAACCACCACCACCGCACGGAGCTCCACGACGCTTCTGTTACCACGAACCTCTTGAAGGACAACAACAACAACAACAACCGCCACAACAACAACAACCGCCACAACAACAACAACCGCCACCACAACAACAACAACCACCACAACAACAACAACCGCCACAACAACAACAACAACAACCGCCACAACAACAACAACCGCAGACTTTCAGCCGTCACCAACACCACCAACACCACCAACAACAACAACAGCAGCAGCACCACCAGAGTGCAATGTCACCTGACCCCAACCACCCTGCCGACCCTACGCAACAACAAAAACAACAACCACAACAACAACAACCGCCACCGCTTTCCCAGCATGCCTTGCAGCAGCAGCAGCAGCAGCAGCAGCAGCCGAAGCAGTCTTCCTCCCAGCATGCTTTGCAGCAGTCTTCCCAGCATGCTTTGCAGCACCAGCAGCCGCCGACGACACCACAGGCGGGGGCCGTCGTCGTGACGGCCAAGTCTACCCAGCATGCAGTGCAGCAAACCAAACACAGCCACGATGCACAGCGGCAGCAGCAGGGGGCGGCCGTGGCCACAAAGTCGACCCAGCATGCACTGCAGCCGGCACAGAGGGCTTCCCAGCATGCACTGCGGCAGGAGCCTGGCTCGGCGTGGGTGGTGCCGCCGGCGTTCTCGTCGCACCACCAGCAGCAGCAGCACAGCAAGCGGATTACCCAGCATGCACTGCTCCAGCTGCGGTCCGCTTCCCTGAGCTGCCCGGTAGCCGGCGGCGACGACGACGACGACGATGGGGCGGCGGGGGCGGCGGTGGCTGTGGGGGGCTCCTCCGCGGGGGGCTCCTCCGCGGGGGGCTCCTCCGCGGGGGGCGCCGGCGGGGTCAGAGGCGGTGGAGGCCTGCAGGCGGCACCGGTCCACCGCGAGGGTCAGGGGCAGCGTGCCGTGGGGTCAGGGGATGACCAACAACAACAACAACAGCAACAACAACAGCAGCATCAACAACAACAGCAGCAACAGCAGCAGCAGCAGAGTCCATTTCGTTACCAACACCACCACCAGCCGCAGCCGCAGCATCACGGACGCCGCCAGCATCATCATCATCAGCAGCAGCAGCATCAGCAGCATCAGCAGCAGCAGCACCATCAGCAGCACCATCAGCACCATCAGCAGCAGCATCAGCAGCAGCACCATCAGCAGCAGGCCGCCTTGGGCCTCGTCTCCACCGCCAAGTCATCGGCCGCCTCTCCGCCCGCGGCTTCCGCCCTCTGCTCGCCCTCCGCCGACGAGGATGGCGACGCTCACCGCCGCCGGCACCACCGCCGCCGGCGCGAGGAGGGCGACGAGGGGGCCGCCGGCGCTCCGCCGTCGCCGCCGCTGTCACCGCCGGCGCCGGGCGTGGACGGCGGCCACGGCGGCAGCGGCCACGGCGGAGACCCCGCGGACAATGCTGCGGCGGCCACGACGTCCGGGGTGCTGGGCGCTGTTTGGCGCCGCATGAAGGCGCCCGCCCAGTGGCGTCGCCCGCGCCAGAAGTCCGCCCAGCTCCACGCGACACTCCAGCAGCAGGGGCAGGGGCAGGGGCAGGGCCAGGGGCAGGGCCAGGGCCAGGGGCAGGGCCAGGGGCAGGGCCAGCGGCAGGAGGAAGGAGTCACAGCGGCGTCACCGCCTGTGGCGGGCGGAGTGGCGGGCGGAGTGGCGGGTGGAGGAGTGGCGGGTGGAGGAGTGGCGGGTGGAGGAGTGGCGGGTGGAGGAGTGGCGGGCGGGCGCGCCCTGAGGGAGAAGGTGCAGCTGGCACGCAACGAAGACCTCCACGACATTCTGGACTACTGGAAGGGGATGTCGGGCCAGTGAGGTGGGGGGGGGGGGGGGGTGTGGGGGGTAAGGGGGGGTAAGGGTGGGTGGGTGGCAGGGACATTGCCACTGTGGTGGTGGTGGTGGTGGTGCACAAGGGGAGCACAGGCGGTGGTGAGTCTGCCGGTCATCTCGGTCGGACAGACCGCGGCACCAGCAGGGTCTGTCCCGTGACCTCCTCCTGCTCATGCACCTAGCCTGGCACAGTCGCCGTGGTGACTTCATCGCCACTTAGTCGTGAATGGCGGTTGGGGCAGTTTTTTGTTCGGCCGAATAGAGAGGGTGATCACCGGGCGTGGCACGGGCCGGGAGAAAAGAAGGACTGGCGGGCGGGCGGGTGGCTGGGTGGGTGGCACGGGCTCGAGAAGAGACGGAGTGATGTGGTACGGGAGGACGTGGAGCTGAGTGGACTTGCCGATGGCCGGCACCGGCGGTGTCAAGGTCGGCCTCTGTGGAGGAGGCTCGTGAAGGACGCTGGGTGGCACGGGCTCGAGAAGAGACGGAGTGATGTGGTACGGGAGGACGTGGAGCTGAGTGGACTTGCCGATGGCCGGCACCGGCGGTGTCAACGTCGGCCTCTGTGGAGGAGGCTCGTGAAGGACGCTGGGTGGCACGGGCTCGAGAAGAGACGGAGTGACGTGGTACGGGAGGACGTGGAGCTGAGTGGACTTGCCGATGGCCGGTACCGGCGGTGTCAAGATCGGCCTCTGTGGAGGAGGCTCGTGAAGGATGCTACTGGGCAGTTGGAGGCAGTCGCCCTCCAGCAACAACGGAGGGCGGTGGAGCGACGCTCACGACAACGAGCGGAGCGCCGGGTGGCTAAAGCACAGCGGGTTGGCACAGTAGGGGGCACAGGTGGTGCATCAGCCGGCCACCTCAGCCGGTCAACTCACGGCACCCGGCTCTGTTCCATGACTCCCTCCTGCCGGCAGTGAGGCTTCGGCACTTCACGTGGCCCCAAAGTGCACCCAGCCTGGCACGCGCACCGCGGAGACGTCACCCACCGCGCGCGGTGCCGAGCGGCGGCTGCTGTCGCGGTCGCTGTTGTTGGTCGGGTGCGTGGGTTTGGGGGGGGTGCGGAGAAATGCGTGGTGGTGACCGACCTCCTCTCTGCAGAACCGCTGACGGAGAAGCTTGCGAGCGGATGTCACCGGTAGTGGCTACGACCAGATTCGGTAGCACCCCTTCCTCCCCCGCCGCACGCCGAGATCGGGTAGATTCGGTTACGGGAGGCACCGGGTGTTCGGTTGAGTAGGTGTGCACCGAAGCACCCCGTCCCCATAACGAAATACTTGTAACCCGAACCGAAGATTCGGTCAGCTCAACCGAAGATTCGGTACCCGGGGCTAAACATTCGGCACCCTAGCAGATACTTGGTTACCTGACCGGACATTCGTCGGTACCCAAGTGAAGATTCGGTCTCCCTAACCAGAGATTCGGTTACCCATACCGAAGATTCGGTTACCCCTACCGGATGTCCATTAGCCTACCGAAGGGTCAGAACCCCCATACCGGATATGCGATACGTCCAAAGATTTAGTACCCCTATGCCGGAAGGTTCCATAATTCTACCAGATATTTGGTACCCTACCGGAGATTCATTTATCCTACCGGAGATTCATTTACCCTACCAGAGATTCATTTACCCTACCAGAGATTCATTTACCCTACCGGAGATTCATTTCGCCCTACCTGAGATTCATTTACCCTACCGGAGATTCATTTACCCTAACAGAAATTCATTTACCCTACCGGAGATTAATTTACCCTACCAGAGATTAATTTACCCTACCAGAGATTAATTTACCCTACCAGAGATTAATTTACCCTACCGGAGATTCATTTACCCTACCAGAGACTCATTTACCCTACCAGAGATTAATTTACCCTACCGGAGATTCATTTACCCTACCAGAGATTCATTTACCCTACCGGAGATTCATTTCGCCCTACCTGAGATTCATTTACCCTACCAGAGATTCATTTACCCTACCGGAGATTCATTTACCCTAACAGAAATTCATTTACCCTACCGGAGATTAATTTACCCTACCAGAGATTAATTTACCCTACCAGAGATTAATTTACTCTACCAGAGATTAATTTACCCTACCGGAGATTCATTTACCCTACCAGAGACTCATTTACCCTACCAGAGATTAATTTACCCTACCGGAGATTCATTTACTCTACCGGAGATTCATTAACCCTACCGGAGATTCATTCACCCTACCAGAGATTCATTTACCCTACCAGAGATTCATTTACCCTACCAGAGATTAATTTACCCTACCGGAGATTCATTTCGCACTACCGGAGATTCATTTACCCTACCAGAGATTCATTTACCCTACCAGAGATTCATTTACCCAACAGAAATTCATTTACCCTACCGGAGATTCATTTACCCTACCAGAGATTCATTTACCCTACCAGAGATTCATTTACCCTACCAGAGATTCATTTACCCTACTGGAGATTCATTTACCCTACCAGAGATTCATTTACCCTACCAGAGATTCATTTACCCTACCGGAAATTAATTTACCCTACCAGAGACTCATTTCCCCTACCAGAGATTCATTTACCCTACCGGAGATTAATTTACCATACCGGAGATTCATTTACCCTACCAGAGATTCATTTACCCTACCGGAGATTAATTTACCCTACCGGAGATTCATATACCCTGCCGGAGATTCATTTATCCTACCGGAGATTCATTTACCCTACCAGAGATTAATTTACCCTACCGGAGATTCATTTACCCCACCAAAGATTAATTTACCTTACCAGAGATTCATTTACCCTACCAGAGATTCATTTACCCTACCAGAGACTCATTTACCCTACCAGAGATTCATTTACCCTACCCGAGATTCATTTACCCTACCAGAGATTCATTTACCCTACCAGAGATTCATTCACCCTACCAGAGATTAACTTACCCTACTGGAGATTAATTTACCCTACCAGAGATTCATTTACCCTACCAGAGATTAATTTACCCTACCGGAGATTAATTTACCCTACCAGAGACTCATTCACCGTACCAGAGATTCATTTACCCTACCAGAGATTAATTTACCCTACCGGAGATTCATTTACCCTACCAGATATTCATTTACCCTACCAGAGATTAATTTACCCTACCGAAGATTAATTTACCCTACCAGAGAATCATTTACCCTACCAGAGATTCATTTACCCTACCAGAGATTAATTTACCCTACCGGAGATTCATTTACCCTGCCGGAGATTCATTTATCCTACCGGAGATTCATTTACCTTACCAGAGATTAATTTACCCTACCAGAGATTCATTTACCCTACCAGAGATTCATTTACCCTACCAGATATTCATTTACCCTACCAGAGATGCATTTACCCTACCGGATATTCATTTACCCTACTAGAGATTAATTTACCCTACCGGAGATTCATTTACCCCACCAGAGATTAATTTACCTTACCAGAGATTCATTTACCCTACCAGAGATTAATTTACCCTACCAGAGATTCATATACACTACCAGAGATTCATTTACCCTACCGGAGATTCATTTACCCTACCAGATATTCATTTACCCTACCAGAGATTAATTTACCCTACTGAAGATTCATTTACCCTACCAGAGACTCATTTACCCTACCAGAGATTCATTTACCCTACCAGACATTCATTTACCCTACCGGAGATTCATTTACCCTACCAGAGATTAATTTACCCTACCAGAGATCAATTTACCCTACCAGAGATTAATTTACTCTACAGGAGATTCATTTACCCTACCAGAGATTAATTTACCCTATCGGAGATTCATTTACCCTACCGGAGATTAATTTACCCTACCAGAGATTCATTTACCCTACCGGAGATTCATTTACCCTACCAGAGATTAATTTACCCTACTAGAGATTCATTTCCCCTACCAGAGATTAATTTACCCTACCGGAGATTCATTTAACCTACCAGAGATTCATTTACCATACCAGAGATTATTTTACCCTAACAGAGATTCATTTACCCTACCAGACATTAATTTACCCTACCAAAGATTCATTTACCCTACCAGAGATTAATTTACCCTACCAGAGATTAATTTACCCTACCAGAGATTCATTTACCCTACCAGAGATTAATTTACCCTACCAGAGATTCATTTACCCTACCAGTGATTCATTTACCCTACCAGAGATTCATTTACCCTACCAAAGATTAATTTACCCTATCAGAGATTAATTTACCCTACCAGAGATTAATTTACCCTACCAGAGATTTACCCTACCGGAGATTCATTTACCCTACCAGAGATTAATTTACCCTACCGGAGATTCATTTACGCTACCGGAGATTAATTTACCCTACCAGAGATTCATTTACCCTACCAGAGATTCATTTACCCTACCGGAGACTCATTTACCCTACCAGAGATTCATTCACCCTACCAGAGATTCATTTACCCTACCGGAGATTAATTTACCCTACCGGAGATTAATTTACTCTACCGGAGATTCATTTACCCTACCGGAGATTCATTTACCCTACCGGAGATTCATTTACCCTACCAGAGATTCAGTTACCCTACCAGAGATTAATTTACCCTACCAGAGATTTATTTACCCTACCAGAGATTAATTTACCCTACCAGAGATTCATTTACCCTACAGGAGATTTATTTACCCAACAGGAGATTCATTTACCCCACCAGAGATTCATTTACCCTACCAGAGATTCATTTACCCTACCAGAGATTCATTTAACCTACCAGAGATTAATTTACCCTACCAGAGATTTATTTACCCTACCAGTGATTAATTTACCCTACCAGAGATTCATTCACCCTACCAGAGATTCATTTACCCTACCGGAGATTCATTTACCCTACCAGAGATTCATTTACCCTACCGGATATTCATTTACCCTACCAGATATACATTTACCCTACCGGAGATTCATTTACCCTACCGGAGATTAATTTACCTTACCAGAGATTCAT